TTTTTTTTTTCATTGAAAATAGAAAAAAAGAAAATCTGTACACATAAATTTGTATAATAAGTGATTACGATAACAATTATAATATGAACATAGCGTGAATCGCATGATAGTGGAAATCACCCAATGGTAATACCCCTCGTACAATTTCTTAAATATTTTATTTGCATACTAAAATTCTTTTTGTATGAGTTGATATTTTTATAATTTAATGTTATATAGTTCAGTAGGTTCTTGCGCCTTAATGATCTTATTKACACAAATCCACTTTGATTAAATATTTGCATGGGTAATAAAGATGTTTTCATCAGGTATATTTAACTTGCATTAATAACGGTTACATATTTCAACACATTTAAATCTTAACGTAATTTTARAAAACTTAATGCAATATTATAAAATAATTAAAAGTTAACAAATTTTGATTTTATTARTTTCATATAGTATAATTAATGTTAAATTGTATTTGTTGAGTTAAAAATTTACATTGTATGACATATTTTGTAGAGCTTGTAAATTGAGTAATTTATAGTCTGTTTTCTGATTATGCATATATACTTATAAGTTATTTAATAGAAAATATTCAATCAAAATGTTACTAACTTAAAATACAATTCTTTCTTTGAGTATATTTTTTTCTTCATTTTTCATCTAAGTAATTCTTTATTATAATTTTTCTATTATAAAACTTAACTGATTCCTAATATAGTAGTAAAGAAAAAAATAGAATTTATGTTATACAAAATACAAAAAAAAGGTTTTTTGTAAAATTAACTTGTTATCAGAACGCTTAAAAAAAATTTAATTTTTATTAAATATATTTTAACTATTTTTGTGCTTTATGCATGCTAAACATTAAATAATTGCATTTTATTACATATTTTATTTTATTTAAGTTTTTATTTTTATTTGAACATTATTTTTACTTTAAAGTTTAAACATTAAAAAATGTTTGTTTAATGCTTATGCGCTTCTCTTATTCAAATAATGTACTAACACTAATGAAGKATTATATAGGTCCTAACGGGTCGGCAGTTCCTGCCCAAGTAAAAGAATCTGGTTCACAAACATATAAAATTGAGTTCTGTCCTAAAATTGTYGGTGAACATAAAATTGCTGTAAGTTATCTTCGAACTCCAGTAGCCGGATCTCCATTTAGTTGCAAAGTGTATGATATCAAAGCTATTAAAGTGAAATCAGTACCTAAGGGTACAGTTGGTCAACAAGTCACTTTTATTGGTAAATATATATAATTTATAATTTTAAACAGTAAATTTATCTAKCTGGTAAACTTTAGTTGAAACAAGTCAAGCTGGTCCAGGCAATTTAGAAGTTACAGTAAATGGTGGTCGAGTGCCAACTTCTGCTCAAGCTCAAGGGCCACATACTTATGCTATATCATTTACACCTCGTCAACCAACTGTTCATACTGTACATTTACGTTTTAATAATCATGATGTACCAGGTAAAGTAAAGGTTAAAAATTTGCATATATAGTTTGTCATACAATCATAAAATCATGAATATCTGATATCATTAAAAATACAATTATTTGTTGTGTGTAACTAGTGAAAGAAAAGTTTAAATTTAATTTAAATATATCTTACTATATTTCATGTGATTATTTGATAAATTTAAACATTTTTATTTTAGGTTCACCATTTACTTGCTCTGTTTCTGAAGCTGCTAGAGTGGTTGTYTGGTCAGCTACCGAAGATAAAGTCGCTGTTGGTAAGATAGCGTCATTTGCTGTTCAATGTGAAAGTAGTCCTCAAGTACAAGTTCTTGCACCTCTTAGGCATTCTTTACCCGTTACTCTTATACCTGCTACTCAACCATCAACTCACAATGTTCAATTTACTCCTATTGATGTTGGTAAGTTTGTATTATCTTTTCACCAATCAATTTCATTAATTTTATTGTTATTACAATAATATATTTTACTTTTAACTAGGTGACCATAGTGTTGAAGTYAAAGTAGATGGTATWCATGTTGAAGGCAGTCCGTTTTTAGTTAAAGCATATGATGCTTCTAAAGTTCGTGTTACAGATATTAACACAGGATTTGTTGGAAAACCAGTCAATTTCAATAGTAAAAATGAATGAATTAATTTATGATACAAAAGATACTAAAATTTCTGTCATTTTAGTTAATGCTAGTGAAGCTGGTGCCGGTAATTTAGAAATCATAGTATCAGTGAATGGAGTTAATGTTCCAAATTATGTTCAATCTGAAGGAAATGCAAAGTTCCGTGTTAATTTTAAGCCCCGAGACGCTGCCCCTCATAGTTTGAGTGTACGTTTCAATGGTGAACCTATTCCAGGTAATATAATATGTCTATATGTTTATAGGTTTATTTCATATAATATTTAAATTGTAATAAAAATAATTGTTTAATTAACTATTTATCATACAGGGTCTCCATTAACTTGCAGAGTATTGGATATTGATCAAGTCGCAGTAACTGGAAATGGCGTTCGATATTGTGCCATAAAAAAGACAGCTGACATTAAAATAGAAAGTCCTGATATATCCAATGATACAAATTTCAAAGTCAAYGTATTTTCACCATCTGGACAACTGGTTGATGTTAAAACGAGCATCATGGCCAATGCTATTGGAGTGTATTATATACCAAATGAAATTGGTAACCTTTAATGTTAACATATAGGAATAAAGAACATATTTTATAAAATATTATAATTTATAATTAATCAAACCATTTCCAGGAAGACATATGATAGAAGTTTTTATAGAAGATCAGCCAGTTGATGGTAGTCCATTTGCTTGTAATGTGTATAATATAAATAATATAAAAGTTACAGGACTTGATAGTGCTAAAGTATGTTTCTTACATTCAACATGATATATTTTATTTTGTTATATGCACTCATAGAATATTTTTACATAGGCTAGTAAACCAGTTACCTTTAGTGTAGATGCCACAGAAGCTGGAGAAGGTACATTGGAATTGGTTGTTAGTAGTCAAAAAGGCACAGTTAAAGCAGAAGTAGTCGCTTGTTCCAGAGGATTATATGATGTGACTTTTGTCCCTCATAATGCAATACCAC